CTCCAGGGCATGTCTGGCCCGTCTAGCCCAGTCCCACCCCGCCAACCACTTTCTAATTAATTTCCTTTCAATGTGCACAAATCCGTGCACTGGGCCACTAGTATGATATAAAGAGGATATTTTGGGTTTGGTAGTTTTAATTTTTGTCCCTATGTAAAAGATGCAAATGTTCTCAGTGTTTGGAAAATTCAAAAAAATTTTCCTGAGCTACATCTACTAAACTCTACAGAAAAGTCAGTTATATGACATTTTTCAAAAGACCGTTGTGCCTTTCAATCTCTTTTTCTTTAATGTTTAAATATAACATTTTTGAGAAGTTCCAGAGTTTTATGAAACAGGAATGCTGGCCATGGCAGTTCAAAGGTGTGCAGATCGAAAGTATGAAATAATTGAGGATAATGGGAAATTAAGATTGCAGGGCTTACTCTTCAATTGTAGCAGGAAAACTACATAGCAAAGTTCCGAATAAAACATGAATAAATATTCAAGTTCTTGCAAGTTTATAAATTGCCTGGTATGTCTGTAACTACATTGCTATTATGTGGCAAAAGCATTGGGGAGTTCAGGATGTGTATTTATGGACTGATTCCCCAATAGATAACTGCACTATTCCGGAATGCTATTGCTATGTCAATAGCTGTAGACTTATTGTTTTAAAATTTTTCCATTTTTCAACCTAATTAACTTAGAATGTCTCTAACGTGACTTGCAAAGAATTTTATATTTATATTTTGCAATCAGCATTTGATTGGCGCTCAGGTTTGAGACATGCACTAAAATGTGTAAACATTTTGTAAGATAATAAATAGCTCCTAAATGTTTTATGATTGCCTGTTCCCTGCTAATTGGTCATGGATTGAAATTCCCCATTGTTTAATTTTTTTTAATTTGTGGGAAATTTTTATAAATGAGTATGTTGGACTTCATATCACAGCTGTTGTCATTTAAAGTTTGGACAGAATTATTACAAATGAAGCCCTGCTGTGAAATCAAAGTCAAAAGGCATCTTGGCATCCCAACCATTTCCTTGGGAGAAGATTACAGCTCAAGTCTGTTGAACTTTATTGCCTTGGGCCTCATGACAGTCTTCAGAAACATGCAAGGCATTTCTGTTAAAGAAATTCAGATGTGCTGGGACACAGGGGATGGCATTCTTGTGCATAGCAGTGTCCTAAGCAAAGGGGTGAGGAATAAGTCAGGAAAAAAAAAAGATGATTCACACTTCTGCCGTGTTCTGGGATTATTTTATAAAATCCATGGAGATGATAGAGAACATACAGTGATACCATATAGGAAAAAGATATGCTGTTTTTCTACATGGCCTGACAGTATATTATGTTCCAGTTTTATTAAGAGAGAGTAAAATTGACAAGTAAAATTGTAGTATATATAAAGGGTATAGTTTGATAATTTGATGTATATAGTGTGAAAGGATTTCGAAAATTGATTTAACTTATCCATCACCTCACATATTCACCCTTTTTTGGTGGAATACTTATGTTCTATTCCTTTAGCAAATTTCAATTATACAATACAGTATTATCAACTATAGTCACCATGTTATACATTAGATCCTTAGATCTTACTCATCTTATAATTCAAAGTTTGTTCTCTTTTCCCAGCATCTCCCCGTACTCCCCATGCCCCAGCCCCTGGCAGCCACCATTTTACTATTTACATTTACTATTTCAATTTTTTTTTATTCCACCTATAGATAATATGAACTACTTGTTTTTCTTTGTCTGACTTATTTCACTTACCAAAATGCCCTCCAGGTTCATCCATATTGTTGCAAATGTCAGGATTTCCTTCCTTTTTAAGGCTGAATAATATTCCATTGTGAATATAAACCACATTTTCTTTATGATTCGTTCATTGATGGCCACTTAGTTTGTTTTCATACCTTGCCTATTGTAAATAATGCTTCAGTGAACATGGGAGTACAGGTAATCTCTTCAAGATAATAATTTCAGCCCTAGCAGGATGGCTCAGTTGATTGAGTGTCCTCTCATGCAGGTTTAATCCTCGATTTGGGCATACTAGGTGTACCAGTTAATAATGCGGATTTTTTTCAATAGATGGAGTTACACATATGTTGATATATATGTGATTTGATATGTATGCTATTTTGTTGTATTGGCAACAAGCTTCAAAACTTCATATGTCAAATTTGCTGAAGGTGTTAACATCATAGATATTTTTACGCTTAAAAATGTCGAATTTTGTGCCAAAAAAAGAGCATTTGTGGGAAGTTTTAATTCATTACTTTATTTTGAAGAAAAAGTTACTGGGAAGCTTATGGTGAACATGCTCCATCTCAAGATACTTGTGAATGCTGGTTTAAACACTTTAAAAGTGATGATTTCGATGTGAAAGAAAAAGAACATCCAGATCAACCGAAAAAGTTTGAAGACCAACAATTCCAAGCATTATTGGATGAAGATGCGTGTCAAACTCAAAAATAACTTGCAGAAAGATTAAACGTTCCTCAGCAAACAACTTCCGATCATTTATAAGCAATGAGAACGATTTTAAAGGAAGGAAAATGGGTGCCACATCAACTGAACGAAAGAAAAATGGGAAACCAAAAAGTCATCAGTAAAATGTTGCTTCAACGGCACAAAATAAAGTCTTTTTTGCATCGAATTGTGGCTAGCGATGAAAAGTGGATTTATTTTGAGAATCCCAAATGCACAAAATCATGGGTTGATCCAGGTCAACCATCAACATCGACTGCAAGGCCAAATCGCTTTGGAAAGAAGACAATGCTCTGCGTTTGGTGGGATCAGGAAGGTGGGGTGTATTATGAGCTTCTAAAACCAGGTGAAACCCTTAATACTGATGGCTACCGACAACAAATAATCAATTCGAACCATGCTTTGATCGTGAAATGACCAGAATGTGCCAGAAGACATGGCAAAGTAATTTTGATTCATGATAACACACCATCACACACTTCAAAACCAGTTAGACACGTTAAAAGATCTTGCCTGGGAAGTATTAACCCACCGCTGTATTCACCAGACCTTGCTCCTTTAGATTACCACTTGTTCTGATCAATGGCACATGCACTTTCTGAGCAGCACTTCAAAACGTAGGAAGAAGTGGAAAATTGGGTCTCTGAATGGTTTGCCTAAAAACAAGAAAAGTTCTATTGGGACGGTATCCACAAATTACCTGAAAGATGGGGGAAATGTGTAGCTAGCGATGGACATTACTTGGAATAAAGCACTTTTGATGTTTCTCTTGAAATTATCTTGTTTTCTATGATTACAAAAACCGCCATTATTAACTGGTACACCTAGTATATGGGTAGGAGGCAACCATTCAATCTTTCTTTCTTCGTCTCTCTCTAAGAACCAATGGAAACATATCCTTGTGTAAGGATTTTTTTAAAAATTATTATTATTTCATCATCTTTGGATATATACTCAGAAATGGAGTTACTGGATCATATAGTAGTTCTATTTTTTAATTTCTTGAGGAACCTCCATACTGTTTTTCATAGTGCCTGTACCAGTTTACATTTCCACCAGCACTATACAAGGGTTCTCCATTCTCCACATCCTTGTTAGCACTTGTAATTTTTTATCTGTTTGATAATAGCAATTCTAACAGATGTGAGGTGATACATTGTGGTTTTGATTTGCATTCCCCTGATAATTATTTTGAGTACCTTTTCATATACCTGTTAGCTATTTGTATGTCTTCTTTGGAAAATGTCTATTTAATTTCTTGGCCCATTTTTTAATTGGGTTATTTGTATTTTTGCTATTGACTTATGAGTTCCTTGAATATATTGGACATTAATCTCTTACTGGACATGTTCTCCCTTTTAGTAAGCTGCCTTTTCATTTTGTTGATGATTTTCTTTGCTGTGCAGAAGCTCTTTAGTTTGGATCATACAGTATGGCTTATTTCACTTAGCATAATTCCTCAAGGTTCATCCTTATAGTGTGTGTTGGAATTTCCTTCCTTTTTAATTCTGAATAGTATTCCTCTGTGCATGCATGCATGCATGCACACATTTTGTTTATTCATTTCTCTGTTGGGTTGTTTTCACATATTGGGTATTCTAAATAGTGCCTCTATGAACATGAATGTACAAATATCTGTTCAAGTCACTACTATTTTGGGTATATACCCAGAAGTAGAATTGTTTGATCATATGATAATTCTATTTTTCAATTTTGAGAAATTGCCATATTATTTTTATACCATTTCACATTATCAGTAGCATTTTCTGACTATTCGAACAACATTTTATCCAATGGATTTTAGCATCAGTGGTATTTCTTGCCTGATCAATAACAAAATACCCTTGTATGTGACACTCAGAGAGAAAAAATATTTCCAATTAATTATAAAATGCATTCCAGTTTCAGAGAAGTTAAAATATGAAAAAAAATGTGTATTTAGATTCAATGAAATGCAATAGTTAAATGTATCAAAACCACCTCCAAGCCCTAACCGGTTTGGTTCAGTGGGTAGAGTGTTGGCCTGTGGACTGAAGGGTCCCAGGTTCGATTCCGTTCAAGGACATGTACCTTGGTTGCAGGCACATCCCCAGTAGGGGGTGTGCAGGAGGCAGCTGATCAATGTTTCTCTCTCATTGATGTTTCTAACCCTCTATCCCACTCCCTTCCTCTCTGTAAAAAATCAATAAAATATATATATTTTTTAAAACACCTCCAAAAATTGTTTTCTATGAATTACATACTTCATAACAATTTTTGGAAAACAGATAAGTAAAGCTAGCTATTCATCATGAGCATATCAAAATGTCTTTCTCAAAATGTATTTTTATCTCATTTCTAAAAGAATGTGCTTCAGGGACAGAATTTTTTCTCCCAAACCTACCTTAGTACATCTTAGTAACAATTTGGAATAAAAAAAACCCATTGGACAGTAAACAATGTATCCCAGATTTTTGTTTCCATATGTTTATAATTTCCGATAAATGTGCTAATTAATACTTATTTCTCTTTGTTTTGTCTAAGGATTGTTCCAGTTTAGAGGAGTATAACATTGCTGCAGCATTACTCCCTTTGACCAGTGCTTTCTATAGGGTAAGTTTCATTAATCTATATATATATAAGCTCATTATGATTTATATAAATGTATTCAGTACATGAATCCAGTATGTCTAAGACATATCTGTGGTTATATTTGTTATAACATTTATTGTATGCTATGTGTAGAAATTTTAATCTCTGATACTAAATCATCTAAAACAGAACCACCCATTTCATCCCTGCTTCACTTTTTATAGCACTTTATACCAACTGAAATTATGTTATGTATTTATTTGTTTACTTTTGGGTGTTTTCCCCACCACAGAAAGTAAATTCCATGAGGTTGGGATATTGTCTGTCTTACCTGATGTGATACTCTAATGTCAATCAGTAAATATTTGTTGAATGAATAAATGGACAAACGAAATAAATCTATAGGGGTGGAAATTAGAGTTTAACTTCATTGACAATGTCTATGAACCTTCTGAGAATTTTCTGGAATGTTTAGTGAATCTCATGATTCTTTCACTTAAATTTATTGCATTTCTCCTATCCATGTCTTTTCATAAAGAAATTAGTTTTATTGCAAATAAATTCAGCAAGTTCTTTTTATTCTCTCTTTTCCTGTGGAGAACTTATAAGAATTTAAATAGTTAACACTCTGCACAGCACAGGTAATACATCCTTCTGAGATGTGCAGTGGGAAACAACACGCCTGTGGCCTCCAGGCTGACTCACTGCTGAGCCATACGCAGTAGCTTTGGGACTTCAACAGGGAACATGGAAGGACTTCCAGCATAAGTGACTCCATATTTTCATGGGTTTATTAAATATCCAGGTCTTGAGGCACCAGATGATGTGCCTCAGGTAGAGTCCTCGCCATGAAAAGATCATACCCCTAGATGCTAGCAGTAGTCTTACTCTTTATTCTGCCTGTCCTTTCTATTTCATCCACCATTTCTAACTGATGAGGCCTAGCTACTTTCCTAGTAGCTAGTAGGTGCTCAAAAAACATTTATTGATAAGACCAGTTTTCTAAAAACTCTATTTCAAATAGTATGTCCACAGTCTTGGAGTTAAAGGTCTTAACCTAAAGTTCTCCCTAATCAAGAGCTCTTTCTCTGCTGCCAAGCACTGAATATCCCTCTTTTTCCTACTTGCCCTCTTCTAAAACCAAAAGTGGAATTTATGAGGTTCACACTTTTGAGAACTGGGAAGTCACACTGAGCATGATCAGGAAACAAGGCTAAACCGCAAAAATGTCAACAAATGAATTTGGGTGTGGAACTAATGACATTGCTGGAGTTTGGACATCATCTTTTGGTCTTCCTGCCCAGCTTAAGTTCTTAGTTTTTTATCTCATTCCTCTGCTGGCATGGAGAACACTGTCACAAAAATAGGCCAGGCTCTCCTGCATCGTAAGCCACCTAGGAAATTTGCCTCTATATCTCAGAGTAGCTAGATCACTTCAACCTATGTCTAATTAGCTTCATAGCATTTAAGAGTGCTCACATGGGCATTTGTTAAAGAAAATGACATTAAAAAAATTTCCCACTTCAACATCTAAGCTATTTTAAAACCTAGATATTGTGCATAAATAAATAAGGAGAAACATAGGGAAAATAAGAATTGATAGTAGAAACCCAATTGCTCAAGTGACACAGGTCCTTTATGGTTTTTTTTGGGGCGGGGGGGTGGGGGGGTGTTGAATCATTTAACCATTTTACAATGTATATTAGTAAGGGTTTGACCCTGATAACAGAAACACCATAGTGGTATGAAGTAAGGAATTTATTATAGGGACCAGCCCTTACAGTGTTATGGAAGCTGTAGGAAAAGCTTATGGAAGTCTTTGAATGAGGGCCTGAGGTCTCTGTAGGTCATCGGGACAGCAATCGGGAAGAACAGCTGGACATGACGCAGGGCATTTTTGCCGTGACAGACTGGAATCTGTACCTACCTCTTACGTCCTCCCACCTCGACAGTGCAGGTGACCTGCAAGAGAAGTAGCACTGTTGGCCATGGAGCTGCGCATGCACCTGGCCCTGGACTAGGAGAAGCTGAAGGAAGAGATCCAGCAGGAACTGGAAGAGCTAGGAGCTCAGTTCCTTCTCCATGTCAACAAGGTGAACCAGCAGATCAGTGACGAAGTCTATGAACTCAAGAGCACCTGGCATCCTAAACTGACCTCCAGATGTATGGCTGCTGCTTCGTTTTTGCCTTCCAAATCTTGGACAACTTTCTCTGGAGCCATAGAGGGAAGAGAATTCAGGAAAATATAGTTCTAGCTTAGCTTCATTTACACATCACAAAACTACCACACTGTCTCTTTTAGTTTTATGGGAGTTGTTAATGCAATTAGTTAACAAGTTGGGCTAAATGCCATGGTGTTTCTCTGTATTATCAAACCTAACATTCAGATGTATGTTTTAAGAGTGGGTTTACCAATTTAGTTCTTTGTTGTTGGCTTGGGTTGATTTGATTTGGTTTGGTTTGGCTTGATTTGTTTTGGGTGTGAATTAGGTAAGGTCCAGTCAGGAATCAGAAACACCAGTAAAACGAGCAGGGAAATTTTAATTAAGTAGCTTAAATTTTATTAAATAGTAACAGGATTAACTACTAAGAATTAAAGAGAATTCTATAGAATACAAGCATAGCAGGTAAAGGGAGCAGCTGGTACCTCTAGGCTCAGGCAGAGTCCCCAGGAAAGGAGAAAACTGGGAAGAGGGTCCTTCCCCCACAAAACTGAGAGCCAGACCTTGTTGGAGAGGTGCTTCTGTGGCCAGTGGATGGCATGGAAATTCACGGAGGTGCCACATTCCAGGGCTGGCAAGCAAGAAACTGCCTACTGGAGTTCTGGCAAGACTTGCTAGGGATCCACTCACTAGGGTGCCAGTGAGACTTCACAGGAAGCCACTCTTTGGGGTACCACTGGAACTTGCTAAGTTGGAGAGCATTTCTGGGTGCATGCCACAGGAGCCAGAAGGAAAAAGCACACCACTCAGACTTCAGTGTCGCTTCACTGCCCTGTACTGGCATAAGTGCACCGCTGGCAAGGAGGACTGTTGGCAGGTCCAGCTCCTGTACCACAAAGCAGAGCAAAGAAAGGTAGATGTGGAGAAAAGAGCTCTGCATTGATAACTGACACGGGAGGTATGGGAAGGGATGGGTGGGTCATACTGATTCTTAGATGCTTTTTAAATTTCTGTCTTATGGGAAATTATTTCTGGGTCATATGCATTTTTTAATTCAGGAAAATCTGTAGATGTAAAGTGTTATCCTGGCCACTGACTGCAAATGAGCCGTTCGCATACTGCTCAGCCAGTATCAACTCCTGGCTCCTGCTCAGCCTGACTTCAAAGATTGGACTCAGCTGCTTGTCTTTTTAAAACTTACTTTAAAAGTATTTTAATAATATTTATTAGTATATTTTTTCAATGCAGCAAAAGTTTATTACTCATCTCAACATACAGAGTTATTATGCCAGGCAATATATAATGGGCAGCAGAGTGAATAAATGGTTTTCATGGCCAGTAGGAGCTTATATTACTCTTTCTAATATAGTAAGTAATTCCACCAACCAAATGGGCATTTTCTAAAATAAAAGTAATACATATACATGGTTAGAAAATTCAGATAATACAGAAAGATTCACAGTGCAAAATGAAAGCTCCCTTTCCCACCTCTGTCCCATTTCCTCTGATGGTTATTTCTTCCTGGTTGGGAAAAATTGTGCATTTTTGCCAGAATATACAGATAAAATTACATTTTTTTAAACTAAAGTTATCAAACCATTCACACTGTTTTCCTACCTTGCTTTTTTTCACTGAATAGTACATCTTGGAGACCCTTCCATATACCTAAAAAGGTACATAGCACATATACCTATTTCTTTTTAATGATTGCATGTATATTTTCTTTTTAATGAAAAGATCGTGTACATATCCTTACCATTCTTATAAGAGCAGACCATTTCATTGGCCCAGATGAGCTATAAATCTTTCAGAGCTTTATTTATTATAAAAGATGTTCCACTGATAACATGATCTATCTTAGATCCTTGGGAATTTGTTATGGTTTTTCCCCCCTACTGTTTTTTCTCACTTTTCTCTACTCATGCTTCTTTAACTTATGAAGCCTTTCTTGAAGATGGTGACTTAACAGCCAGTTTCAAATTGTTAGAATTACTCCCTGTTCCTCGGCAACCACTAATATAATATACCTTTTGTCTCTATAAATTTGCGTTTTCTGGACATTTTATATAAATGGAATCATATAACATATGTTTCTTTATGTCTGCCTTCTTTTACTTAGCATTATATATATTTTATTCCTCACCCGAGGTCACGCCCATTGATTTTAGTGGGAGGAGGTGAAGGCAAGAGGTAGTGGTGTTGGCAGGAGGAGAGGGAGAGAGAAACATCGATGTGAGAGAGAACATTGATTAGTCACCGTCCATATGTGCCTGGACCAGAGATCAAATCTGCAATCTAGGTATGTGCCCTGATCAGGAATTAAACCCACCACCTTTTGATACTTGGGATGATGCTCCAACCAACTGAGCCACACTGGCCAGGGCTGAGCATAATATATTTGATGTTTGCCTTGTTGGTAGATGATTTCCTTAGAACGATTAATTACTAATTAAGAATTTTCCACCCCCAGAGTGCTTAGGTCACCTTCTGTTTTGTTTCAACTTGTATCTAATTCAAAATGTAATATATAATTAAACTAATTGTATTTTCATAAATACATTAGGAAAAATGTGAAATGTAAAGCATTTCCCAGTTTGAAGAAATATATATTTTACATGTAAATAAAACTTAAGACCTAGTTATTGTATATTCAGGGTGGTACGATAGGAAAATAAGTTGGTCACTACCTGTAAAAAGTCATTTGTGTAAACTAGCTTAGTTAATCAAAGAAGCAGAAAGTAAACACTAAAGCATGGAGAACCACAGAATTTCCTGAGCCATCTCCTGAGCGATGACCTTCCTGCCACCAGGCTCTAGCAATAATTCTGCCCAACCCCTGCCCTCCAAAATGAACAAACT